GTTATTCGGTTCAAAATCTTCGAGTTTTAAATTTTATACAAGACAAATATCATATAATTATAAACTAATTATTTCATTATTATTGTATATATTATCAGTGTTTGCCTGTTATTGGCTTCTTGCTGTTTGCAAATACGTAAATAAATTAATTGAATTGAATTAATTGAATTGAATTAATTCTGTGGAATATTCCATTTTAAAAGCTGATAATAGCATTGATAGTTGATAAATTCACAACCTTTTAACCCAGATATTCATTTACATATTCACAAGAGACACTTGACAGTATTTGAAGAGAGATGAAATCAATCCACGTCTTCACGATCGATTCTTTTAAGGTTAATTTTAATATTATCCTCCCAAGAATACTTACTTTCTTCTCCTCAAGTTTTCATTCCAAAAGTCTCTAATCATTTTTCGTCTTCCCCATTTGTGCTCCTCGCATCTCATCCTCCGTAATCTGATCGCCCTGATAGTATTTGGTTAACAATAAGAATTATGAAGCTTTTCATCACACAAATGTCCTCAACCTCGGATTTTATTTCCTCTCTTAGGTTTTAAAACATTAAATATATGTTCTTTCCTTAATTATACAACAAATTTTAAACCCACACACAAATTACGGGCAAGATGCATACATTATTATTTCTCTATAGTTTATAATTTAATCAAGCTTCATTGACAATTATAATTATGAAAACATATATTTTAAATAAACGATCCATATATGAACACTATGTTACAGATTTCCATTATCTTAGGTATGTTTAATATTCGACAGTTGGCTCTACCTTAGTAATAAGAACAGTCGGTATATCAAATATACATCAGACGACGGACAATATCCAACATGATGTTATTATATGTACTCGACTGTTGTCATATTCCTTCATAGAATGGTAAATGGCAGTGTTATACTTTATAACTGAAAAGTTTATTATAAAATAATGATTACATATAAACTAGGTACGCGTGAAACGTTTTCCCCTAAATTCGATCGATTTTCTCCGATTTTAGAGTATCATAAATTAAAGTAAGGTGTTATTCCCTCGCTCATAGTATTTTGACACTGTAAACATTATAAACCAAAATTAATGTTTAACTAAACCGTCAGATGATAGAACAGGTTCAAAGGGAAATTTTACAGAAGTTTCGTAAAATTCAACGAAATGTAGTTATTTTTGTTGTAAAAAGATAAACTCCTATTCGTAACGTATATTGAGAAAAATGTTTCCTATTCTTAAACACTTCTCATACTGCGCTCCCGTGACGTAATCATCAAACTCTTCGATGCGGTCTTAAAATCGAGGAATATTCATCTCATTTCGCTGTTTTCGGGACCTGTCATAACCACCGCTGGAAAACGATCACACACATCTAAGTTTTTCTAAAGCATTTAATATTTACAAAAATAGTCAGAATACTAGTTATTGTCAGTACCCAATAAGTGTCATCTGTTAAAATAAATTTATATTATATAAAACACAATTCCACGCTTTCACGAAAGTTTGCGCTTTATCTGAATGACAGTTGCATAACCTAACTTAACCCAACCCAACCTACCCTAACCTAACCTAACCTAACCTAACCTAACATCGAACAAACGCCTCAAATGGCAGGCTAACAAAAAGTCTGTCTGGTTGAACCTGACTAACGATGTACTTTTATCAGATCGGTTTTGCTGTTACCCGGTGTACAGAGTTACCACAGTACCGCGAAAGCAATAAGTTTTATTTGTCGCTTTTCAAAGTGTTAGCCGGGATTACATGGTTAACACGAATGCTCCGTCGCTGAAATAAACTGTTTCTCGATTTATATTTGCTCTTACTTTCTTTGTAAATGCAAATTTTATTTGTTTACGCCTTTCTGTAATATTTGTGATCTGTACTTTAAGAAAACAGTTGCATGATTAACATGACGTTTCTGAACGTAACATATAACTGCATTGTTTCTTTAACATCTCAAGAGGTCATGTTAACCTTGTTTGAGTCTGAAACATATGTTCTGTTTTCTTTCTTTAAACATTTGCAGTAAATTATATCGTCTGAAGTAAAGCTGAAAGGAACGAGAACGGAAAATGACAGCGACCTTATTCATGCTTTCTAGGGGCTAAATATAGTGCGTATTACTGAGAAACTCTTTTTGGGGGATGTCCAAATCAGTCAGTAAAAAAATTAGTAGGTGTTACAGTTTTTCTTGGCTTCTGTGTCTGCAAGCTGGCCATGGTACAGATGGTGTCTATTTGCTTTATATATTGGATTATATTTAGGTTATGCCATAATGTGGTCTTGAGGAGCTACTACACCTCTTCGTTTCAAGGCGAAACCACAGCAAAACTGGAAGGGTGGACTAGCCGTTTGTGCATCTAAGAATTGTCTGTATATTTCTAATTTTATGTACTATGACAAGGTCATATGTATCTTTTCTTGTTATATTTATATTTAGGGATATATTTTATGTCTTGTGAGACCCAAAATTTACGAACAGAATATACAAGTGTGATAGAAGTTCAAGATATATATGTAACCAAAACTGATTAAATCTATTAAATATATTTTATTGATTGTACAAATAGGACGATTTAGCATATATAATTAGAAATATCAAATAATGAAAGTTTATTGAACAATGTTGTCTAAATATGATCACACGACGAATAAGGATTTGGGGATATAATGTCGTGGTTAAACACTTAACAGTTATGGCTACTGAAGTTTTTTTAGTGTTAAAAGATCGTCATTATATCCTATCCATTGATAAGTTGTACCAGTCATTAGCATCATAACCGATTTTCTTCGTATCTTATTTTTATCTTTCTTAGTCTCCTACTTCGCCACTTTACATGTTTTCTGAATAAGTCAGCTTATCCAGGTCCTTGATTTAGTCACCGTATGATTATTAAGTTAACGGCAAAAATGATGTTCTCAGTATATAATTCTATGTATTCTACAAGTTCTTTTGTTTCAGCAGTCTGTTTGAAGTTACTTTCCATCCGTCAATAGTTAAAAAACAAAATGTTTGACTTGAACAAAATGGCGGATAGACTTAGGGTTATGTGAATCAAACGGATTTCCAGAACATGTGAACATTTAAGTGAAATGAAAATTAATTGTGTTGAGAGTCACAAAAATTACAAAGTACGTCTCTTTTGCCAGGAAAACAACGGATGTTTCACGTTAGTGCTAATTAATTCAACGGAGCAGATACATTTTTGATAAACGTTTGGTCGCCTTTTATTGAACAAAATGTTTCATCACCGCCTCCGCAAGAGCTCGCGACTGGTCTCTGTTACATAATCCACTTTACACCCTCAACCGCATTTCGCCAAGATCCGTTTTAATATTATCCTCTCATATACGCCTAAGTCCTAGCAATATTTGTTGAAGAGTACACATCATGAAGCTCCTCATCAAGCAATTTTTTCTAGATTACATCAGTCGGATGTAATTATTACCATAAATTGAAGAATTATACCCATTAACTCATTCAAGTGTCTTTTGTCTTCGTCTTAAATTCTTTCTGTTTCCTTTTTGTATGTAATTTAAGATCATCTTGGAAGTTAGGTCCTCGTCTATTCTTTCAACATGTTTACCCCTTTATATTTGTACATTACGAAATTGAAACTAATTTGTATGTCTTATAAATTCGCTGTGTCTTCGAAGTCATAATTCGACTTAACCATCGATCACAGAATAACTCAGCGACTGAATTCTTTCTTCTGTTGCATTTTACCATAGAAGTACCCGATCTGCTGAAGAAATGCATTTACCTTCCCTTAAAGAATTCTGGTCCATACCTTTACAATTTCATTTTATTAGGTAATTTTCATTACCTCATATATTTTCAGAAATTTTATTAATTTATTATCAATTTTTAAAATTAGATATCTGATATTTTTAAAGTTATTAAACTTACTGAGAGTTAAACGTAGGAAATTATGCAAATGAAACCGGTTTAACGATCGTTGAAGCAGATGGTATACATGGAACTTATTTACGAGGAACTTAGTGTACTATCCCGGAATTTGCCTTGAGGGGCAAAGTAAAGCCATGAAAAGTCAGAATCGCCGATCTCCGGACTGAGATTTGAACCCGCGACCATTAAATCGCAACGTTCGGTGCACATTATCAAAATAAATTTCATTCATAACCATGCACATTTTCGTCTGTCTTTGCGGTTTCGTTCTTGTGTGTAGTTACTTTAAGGTTTCCTCACAAGAATTCTGTGTGCGTCATATCCGGCTCCTGCTAACTAAACATGGCCGTGTTATAAGTAGCAGTTCTACTGGCGTCTTCTCTGAATGAGGCCTATTTAAATTTAATTTGGGGTACAGCTATTCTGACTAATGTTTTCTCAGTTACAGGCGAGAACGAAGTTTGCTTCTTTAAATATGTAACGAACCTTCCTAAACAGTTCTTACCACAACACAGAACAAAATGGCCTTCTCATTTTACACGAAATAACCTCTGCAGATGATAAGTCGTATTCAGTAAACGTAACCTATGAAGTTCCCAAACAACATACCCTTCTTACAAATTCACAGTCTAAAATAACCTTATCATTTTACGCGAAGTAACCTCAGCAGTTGATAAATTGTCTTCAACAACCTATGAAATAATGTTTCCTAAACTATAAGGTTAAGAGTTAGGCCTATACCACAACACAGAACAAAATTCCCCTCTCATTTTACACGAAATAACCTCAGCAGCTGATAAATCATCTTCAGTAGACGTAACCTATGAAGTTCCCAAACAATATCCCCTTCTTACCAATTCACAGTCTAAAATAACCCTTTCATTTTACGCGAAATAACCTCAGCAGTTGATAAATTGTCTTCGGTAGCCTATGAAATAATGTTCCCAAAAATTATCAGGAGAAGAGTTAGGCCTATAAATAACGGAGTTGATGGTCTAGTACTGCCCTACTTTCCGGTTTATTTCTTCAAGTCTCCGATCGGAATGTTTCTCGTTTTCAATGCAACTCCTGGCACACTGTCTTACCTTGTCGGTTTGTCGTTGGGTAGCTAGATGACTGGAATGCGAGTAAGCACTTGCTTAGATTCGGCTGGGGCTAGACTTGCCTTCCAGACACTTGACTACCACTGCGGTAAAATGTAATTCGAATGGCACCGGGAGATACTCGCGTCTCGTAGTCTTTTGCACTCAGGTCTTTGCACACGGCACTTCTTACATCTCTCCCAGAGCCTGAAGGAAAGTTGGCCTGCCAACCCGCCAGAATGGACAATGAGAAAGTCTCAAAGAGGATTCGGGAGGTAGGAGGAGGAAACGAAGAGAAACATCATGAAAAAAGAATAAAGAAAGAGCTTTAAGCGGGAGCAGTGATTACTCGGAATAGATTTCTTGGTCACACACTTAATTTAGACTATTTTTGTGGTTTTATAAAAAAATTAAATCTGTATATCCTTACACACAATTTTTCCTTCATGACGTCCGTTTCGACGTGAATAAAATACGAAACTGTTACTAGATTAATCAGCTTTAAACCGCAGAAATTTAGGTTCTTTTAAATCCACCAAACAGTTTAAAAAGCATAAGGACGAGTTAATATTCTGTACTAATTAATTATATAACAATTCAAGTCCATAAAAACTCCTTATAACATCTCTTCCTATCGGTAGATACGTCTTATTTAAGTATTCAAGTCAGACGTCACTATAAAAGCAAGGCACGGGTCTGTATAATGATATGTTTCAATCCATATATTCACAACCTATTTATCTAAAATTTATTTTAATATTATCTTATCAAGCTGGTAAGCTTAGACGGCAAGGCAATCTTAAAACTTAAAATACTTTTGTGAAACACCTTATTTATTTCTAAATCCAGTTTAAACCATTCGATTAAATGAATTAATTTCCTTGATGCCACTGATGATGACCTCTTGAGATTGAAACGCGTATGGCAGTAGTGTCTTTTTATAGTGTTAATAGTTGTTTGTTTACTTATTTTATATTGTTATTTGTAGGCTATTCCATATTCCAAAGTTCCGTCCTCACACCACGTGTTGATTTCTCTTTGCGGTACGGACGGAATTTTTAAATATTAGTCCTATTTATACTAGTTTCGGCTTTACTTATTTATTATCCCTTTTCAATCTTGATCCGACCAGTGGCCACTTTCAAGGTATGTCACTAAATATTCCCTGGATTTGAGAGCTACATGTCTGATCCATTGTAAAGCTCCATGATTTGACTATGATTCCTGGTTATGTAATTTTCTCTATGCTGCATAGCCTGTACTTTGTCTGCGGTACGTATAAATATTATTCTTGACTGTTGTTTAGATTAGTTTAAACTTCGTCCTGTGTCAGAATTAGAACCCACAAAGAAGGATGGCAAAGGAATTTGATTTGTTTTTATTACAGTGTTTAGTGTTTTATAAAACACAAGAGACTATTTCTTGAATTTATTATGTCCTGAATTTTTTAGCTAACTTAATTTTCAGAAGTTATTTCTAAAACCAGATAAATTATTCAGGTATGAGAATATAATAGCCATTAGATGTTGTATGATAGAAGCAATTGGAACATTTGACAAATAAATAATCTCTTAGAATGTAGACATATCGAATTTTGGTAGTGCAGAAATCGCATGTAATCGTTATATAGTTTTGATGAGACTGTAAACTGAAGATGGAACAGCTATTTATGTTGCCGTGTGAAAAAGACACGTCATGAATAACGTTTTATAAAATCAATAACGACATGGAGGAATGTTTTATTAACCTCAGCACTAGATGTAGAGAGGTGGTCAGTTGGTTATAAAATAAGAGAATAACACATATTAAGGGTGTTTTAAAGTAGGGTGCTTTGGAGATTATGATCCTAAGAAAGACGTAGCAGAAACAGGCTGGATAAAACTGCGTAATGAGGAGATTAGTAATTTGTACATGTAACTAAATATTATTAGAATTATCACATCATGGAAGAACACATGGACTGCTAGTGTACCACTTGTGGGAATATGAGAAATATATATGACATTTTAGTTTAAAAATCCTTGGGGATAAAGTCACTTGGGCAACAGACATGTAGATGGGAGGATAATATTAAAATGAGTTTGAAGAGAACGGGGTATAAGAATGTGGACTGAATTTATATGGCCTAGGATAGAGTTCAATTGAGCTTTAGTGAACACGATAATGAATCTTATGGTTCCAAAAGGGGCTGGGAATATTCTTACCAGCTGAGCAACTGGTATTACAAAGCTAAAATTAAAGAATGGTTTATATAGATATTATTTTTCAAACAACTGGACAGATTTTACATAAATTTAATAATTCAAATAAGATGTCGACGAGAAAATCTCCTTCAATTTTTTTTATAAAAATCGTCACTTTAAGAACAGAAATTCTTTAACAAAATATGATTTAGAGAAGACTAGGTAGTTGCGGCTTTTAATGAGTTGTGTATCTGCTCTCTATTTTTCCTGTAAAAAAATGTTCACCTGCATATTAAATGTATTACAATAATTTTTGTCGGCTGTGGTTTTTGGGTTGTTATACCGCGTGGTCTTGTAGGTGGTTACCAAAGTTACGGAAAAACATATTGCCCCATATTACCCTAGCAAAAGTAGTTCGATTATGTACAATAGGATCGTACATCAATAGAACCTTAAAATGGGTGGTGGAAATGAGGTAGAGGACAGTAAAATATATTTGACAGTGATGGATTATGAGGCTGAAATAAACTCAAGAGGTCGCTAATTTTAGTTCCAAGTTCTCAGACATTTGAAAATCTAAATTAAAAATTTGTTAAAGCTTCTGCAGTTTTTATTAATGATCATAGATTGCCAAAACTTTCCGTTGATTTTCTAAGGACAGTACACAAATGTATTTATAAATTCCACTGGTCTTGTACACACATAGAAGCAACGTGCGTAAAATAGTAATCACAATACACCTGTGTCATATTCCTGTTATGTTGAGAGAAAGAATAAATATTCTTGTACTAAAACTTTCCTTCTTTTAGAGAGTTACATTTTGTACCATGTAGAGCTTAAAGGGTACATAAAATCATTATGCTGCGTCTATATCTCTGCCCGATTCACTTTTGTTATGTTTTATCACTTAAATCAGTGTAAGTAAGCTGTGAATAATTTTAATTTTTCCACATCAGATCTGTAATCCCGTAACACATGAACGATTGGATTAAGACGTTATTTGATTAGAATTATCGCACGCTTCATCTCTGCAAATTCACTTAGCTGGACTCGTGTGCAAATGTAGTTTATTAGACCTATAACATCAAATTTATACGGTCCACAAATCGATTATAAAATTAAATGACCTTAATTAATCCCTGTAAAGGGAAGAGTTATTATCTGGGGATAAAGAATATTTGGAGAGTCAAAATATCGCTAGTGTTAATAAGGAACATCAAACAGCAATTAGTGCATTAGACGAAGTAAAATTATAAGTGTCTATCAACCTTTAACATTCTTACATGATCCAAATTCAAGCATGATTTTATGAAATAATTCCACCAACATAATTAACTGATTAAATGCGTTGAGAAAAGCACCTCTTTAGAAGCTATTTGTTGCTCAGCTAGTCAATAAATTCCTTGCCTCTTATGGAATCAGAAGATTTATTAACGTGTTCGCGAGAGCCCTTTAATTGTCCATGTCTTGAGCCATATGAATCCAATCCACGCCCCAAAACGTATTAGCTCCCTTCAGGCTTGCCAACCAAAACTGTGGAAGCGTTTCTCAATTTTCCCATGCGTGTTACGTTGATATATTTTAATCTTAATGATTTTAGATAAATATGATTATTTATTGTTAATAAGAAATCGTGATTTCTAGTACTTGTAACAAAATTAATTCTCTTTATTAAGGGTTTTTTAGTAGAACTGTTCACCTCTTCGATGTCATAGCTGCTGCTGAGTCAGGGGAAGGCCTGGCAACTTGCCCGCCTGCTATATAAACAAGTCTCTATGCATATCGGACTGACTCACACATTGGTCACACTTCCAGCGCGCATGCTTCAACTGTTGACATAATTGTTTTACAGATCGCGGCCAAATAATTAGGCTCCAGAATTATAAAAACCACGTCATATCCGTTTTATTTGCAATCAAGTATCACGCAACGTTCAAGTATGTTCTACTCATCCACTGCTATTCTTACTGGCTTGTGACGAAATTTGGTGGCAACTGTTATGCGGTGTTTCTGGTTAAATTTTCTGGTACAGTACATATAGTAATAACATACGTATGCAAATCAGTTTTGTGTTTAAAACCTGATGTAACATGCGAGTTAACTATTCATACCATATTTATCCTGGGAGCACATAAAATGTGGGCTTATATATAGTAAGTGTTAACTGTTTTTATCTTATTCTTATACAGTCCCGCACAACAACCGTTAAACACTCTTACGTGAACACATTTGTATTTATTTCGTATTACAAAATGTGTTTTTCTTCGTTACTTTATTTCTTTGTGTAACTCCAACACTGTACTCCTCCTGATGTAGACTACAGTAAGGTCTAAGTGCAAATAAAACTGTTGCGTTACTTTTCGGCACTGCTGTATTCACCTGTGATTATCCGTAGCCAATGAACTGAACTCTCTCCGGAAGTCCTTGAGATTAATCCGTTGTTTTAATTTTTAGGGTGAGAAAACTATTTACTTTATTTTATTTAATGTTACTTGGTTTTATTGTTTCGATGCACACATGTGTAAAGTAAAGTAAAGTTTGTCCCACTACACGCCATGTAGGCGCTTGGGGGAAGAGAAGTATAGCTCCTACTCTTTCTTGATCTCGGCACTAGATGGGGTGAGTGATCAGTATCACGCCTCGGCCGTGCTTTACCCCCTGGAAATGACCCCGGTACCCATTGGATAGGAGGCTGGGTGGGCCCTAGAGCCGGTCTGGACGCAGAGGCTAGAGGAAAAATCCTCTGCCCCTGTCGGGGATCGAACCCCGGTCGTCCAGTCCGTAGCCAGTCACTATCCTGTGCACAAGAACTTATTTTAATAATAATCGTGTGAAAAAAGCTATTACGACAAATTATTTTTTAGGGTTTTAAACCTTTCGCAGTCAACTAGTATTTGAATGTCGTTAATTAAAACTATAGCCTATTCAATTCAAATTATTTCTGTACTCTAGCAAATTCATTTTAATTTATATAAAAAGGAAGGGATGTAGGCCTATATGCCTAAATGTAGAAAATTTAGCATT